GTACGCCAGCATTCATTATGTCAATTTAATTGTATGCTGGCTGACATGATAATTTACCCAAATCGCACAGAATCCGCTGGAGATCGCTGTTGTCGAGATAAAAGACGGCGAGGTGCACATTAATGGTGGCCCAGAGGTTGCATATCTCGGTAACTGGCCGATAACACTTGGCCGGGTGCGTTACCTGCTCTATCTCTGCCCACCCGTCGTCGCTTACATTGCACCGCAGTTCTCCGCCTACCTTCCGAACATGAAATTCCTTCTGAATTCGCGCGACGAGCCGCGCGTGGTATTCAACGTCCATGCAGACGGAGCCTTGGAGCAGGCTTTCCGCCCGCAAGATCCGACACCGTTCCAGATCGCCCCGCGCCCGACAGCCGAGTTTTTCAAGCACCAGAGCGGGTGCGTTGTTCCGGCGAAGGTTCCGGGGTTCACGTCCAGCGTCAACGACGACACCGCATGTGAATGGCTAGTTTTCTAGGGGGTTCCTGGTCTGACGTTCTGCAGTCTTAATTTCGAGTGCCAAGTCTGGATTTACGACGGATCTGTATCCGCTCATTAGCATGGCGAAAATATCATCATGTTTCTCTGATATCTTGTTCCCCACTGAGGTACGTATCTGACCTCGCCCTCTTCCGACAAACCATAAAATGATTGGGCAGTACTACTACGACCAATCCTGGTGGTCAGGAAAGTTCAAATATCCTGACAACATACCCTGGGAGGATAAAAAGCCACAGATCTGTACGTCCTCACCTGAATACATCGAGTCTTTGCGCACTAACGCACCTTCTCGCCAGACTGGCGCGGAATGTCCAACGGCGGGCAAATAATCGGCGCGAACTTCCACTCCTTCCCGCGTTTCAAGCTCATCGACCTGGGTCGCGCGCACCCGGACCTCATGGACGTCGCGATAACGCGCTTCGCGGAGACGCTGTGCTTGGAGGGGTGCGACCGCGAGGCGGTCATCGCGGAGTACAACATCACGTTGGACGGCCAGGCGCGGGAGGACATGTACCGGTACAAATACGCGCTTGACGTCGACGGGACGACGTTTTCCGGGCGGTTCCTCGGTCTCTTGCGCTCAGGGTCTTTGGTGTTCAAGGTGCGCTTTTTCCCTTGCCTTTGTGATGTTTATTTATCATAGTGGTTGCTTAAGGCGACGGTATTCGAGGAGTACTTCAACGAGTGGCTGCGGCCATACGAGCACTACGTGCCCGTCATGCCCGACCTGTCGGACCTCGTGGAGAAGATTCAGTGGGCGAACGAGCATCCGGGGGAGGCGCGGCGGATACAGCAGATGGGGATGCGGGTTGCAACGGAGGTAGTGACGGACGACCAGAATGACTGTTATTTCTTTGCAGTCCTTTTGGAGTGGGCGAGATTACAGGAGTTTGCGCGGAAGTTTGAGAATTGAAACTGGTTGAATTGAGGCGAATCCTCGAATTTCCGTGCGCGAATCAAGAGTGAACTGAAATACTGCTACTTATATGATATATCGCGGGGAATACCAATATGATGGTAGCGATTCCCGCTGGCAGTAACCTATCTCGGGCGGCCACCAACGGCGTCACTGTTGCGATGCTTGACTACACGCATCTCCGATGATGCGCGTTATGTTCCCGGGCTTTGCTATTCCTAGCCACTGCGACCGTCGACAACGGTGGCGCAGTAATGGCGTCGCCGTGATGCAACCAACCTGTGCTGGCCATAAAAGCCGCTCGTCGACGCATTCGCGCGCTAGCAGCCGGCCTGTCTCCCGTCGTAGACCCACGGTTCATCCTAGCACCATCCAATGTCACTCATTTCCTCTCTTCTCGGCGGACTCCGAAAACCCGACGACTCCTACTCGCGGTTGCCCGACTCGGAAGCACACGGACACCCGGACGACGTCCAAACACCGCTCCTCGAAGGCGGCGAATTCAAATACCAGCGCAACGGCCACTCGTGGGCGTGGCGGCACCGGCGACTGCTCGTCACCATCTTCGGGATCTTCGCGCTCACTGCCGCCGGCGCTATTCTTGCGCAGCGGCGGCTGGCTGTCGGGCCCGTTAGCGGCGAGGCAGAGCCTGTTGTGGAGTCAGAGATGCCTGTGGAGATGCACGAGCCGGAAGCACCCCACGTGTCTGCGGCGCGCGTTGAAATCGACGCCCTGTTCGCTCGCCAGTCCAAGATGCTCTCCGAGGCGCGCGCCCGCTACGAGCTGAAGACGAGCCGGTCACCTCCGCGCAACTTTGATCTGTGGTTCGGCTTCGCGCGGGAGCACAAGTGCCTCGTCGACGAATACGACCAGATCCATCGGGATTTCGCGCCATTTTATCAACTCGCGAAGGAGGACCCGGAATTTTTCCAGAAGATGATCGGTTTAGGCTCGTCGAAGGTGAGTTTCGTGCGGCTGCGTTCGTCTATTTATTGAATTTATCCTCCGGCTAGATGTTGAAGGATCCAAAGGGGATGACGACTATCAAGATCACAGGCGGGGAGGTGCATATGCCGGAGTATCAGGGGACGTCGTTTGATGGAGATTGGCCGCGGACGCTTGGACGGGTATGTCCTCTCGATCTTCACTGAGGCGTCGCTGACGGGCAGAATCAGTTTGCAAAGCATCTCCCAGACATGGAATTTATGTTGAACGGACGCGACGAGCCGCGCGTACTGTTCGACTACCGCGAGCCGGGCACGAAGGCCGAAGCCCTAAAGATCAAAGACATGACTCCGTTCGATATCGCGCCCCATCCGACGGCGGAGTTCTTCAAGACGCGGGCGGGGTGTCGCATCCCGAAGACCCCGGCGGGTTTTGTGGAGAGCGCGAATGACGATGTGGCCTGTGCGTCTGCTCGTCTTCATCCTGACCCAGATATTAACCTGATTTGCGGCTGGTTAGTCCTCCTCTCGAGCTCCAGCTCAGACTTTACCGTCGATCTCTACCCGTTGTTATCCATGACCAAGATCTCGCCCTGCTTCTCCGACATCTTGTTCCCCGGCCAGGTATGTACCTACCCTTGAATCCGCTTGCGGTTAACCTAATTATTGGTAAGTATTTCTACGACGAGTCCCCGTGGTCCGGCAAGTTCGCGTATCCGGACAACATCCCGTGGGCGGAGAAGAAGTCGCAGCTATGTACATACCTTGTTCTTCTCGTGTATCCTTGGACGCTCACGGATCATGTCGTTGTAGACTGGCGTGGGATGTCGAACGGCGGGCACATAATCGGGCAGAACTTCCGACACTTCCCGCGCTTCAAGCTCATCGACCTCGCGCGGACCCACTCGGACGTGCTCGACGTCAAGATGACGGAGTTCGCAGAGACGCACTGCACCGCGAAGGAGGAGTGCGACCGCGACGCCATCATCGACGAATATGATATACACGGCCCGGGCGACGCGCGCGAGGCGGCGTACGGGTACAAGTACCTGCTCGACGTTGACGGGAACACGTTCTCCGGACGGTTCCTCGGCCTGCTCCGGTCGGGGTCCCTTGTCTTCAAGGTGCGTGCTTTGGGACGAATGCCGACCCGGCGCTGATATGCAAGCAGTCGACTGTCTTTGACGAGTACTTCAACGATTGGCTCAGGCCATACGAGCACTACATTCCCGTGCTACCCGACCTCTCGGATCTGCTCGAGAAGGTCGCGTGGGCTGAGGCGAATGCTGAGGAGGCGAGGCTGATTCAGGAGCGGGGAAGACAGGTCGCGGAGAGGGTTGTCACCGATGCGCAGAACGACTGCTATTTCTTTGCGGTGCTGCTCGAGTGGGCACAGTTGCAGGAGTATGCGCAGCGGGCGGTCGGGAATTCGAGTACAAGTGGATAGATTATTTAGATGGCGGTCATTTACTTGCCAAGAACATGAAGACGTAGGAGGCGTTGTTGAGCTGGTTGGAGGCGGATAAGGATGGTCGCACTTCATTCCAGTTTCCCGAGTTCTTCTAAGCGTAACAGGACCACATCCTTGCTCGTCTCCTGAATTTCCCCCGCAAGGAATATTTCGTCGAGGATTGCGTAGACCTATCCCAGAAGATTGGAACCCGCATGTCATGTAGTAATGCCAGTCCCTGACCTTGTAAAAGTTGAAGACCAGGTCCAGCTCGTTCACGTTTTCGAAATAGGTGTCTGATGATAGAGCCTCTCAGCTCTTGCACGCATGGAGGCTGCGACAGGGCAACGCACCGAGAACCTCTACGAAAAAGTGGATGGCTTCCAGGTATGCAAGCTCATTATCGTTTGCGTCGACGCATACGCAGAAGAAGAGGCCAGCGTATCGCCGATAGACGATCTTGTAGTTACGGAACTGTCACAGGGGGATTCAGCCTCGTCCTTGGCACAGATCACAGTGAAGCCCACCAACCTCCACAAAGTTGGACTGGTATTTCTGGTCCCTGGAGCTCACTGCCCTATGGACCTCCCCGCGTAGGCGAACCTGGCTTGACGTGAGAACGACGTCGACGTCTCGGACTTGTGGATGTGTCTGACCTTTTCGTCATCGTCGTACGGGACGTAGTACTTGGATAGTCTGGTTTTCCCTTGTCGATTCTGCGCAAATGAGGCGGTTAGTTCAGTTTCTTGAGAAAATATCGTGGATAAATCGTCCGACCTGGACAAGGATGAATCGGATCATGGAGAAAGCAGAGGTGCACCGCCACATAAGGACTCTGACAAATACGCGACGTCATGATGCACCCGGACCAATAATATTCGCGGTCTCTCATTTTCCTATGCATGGAGTTACTGCCACAGCTGCCAGTAGGTGGTAGTTTGGCGGAAACGAGGAATGGGGATTGGTCGAAAGAAATGTTGATGGCTTATGATGAGCTTCGCTAGATTATGTCGAAGTAGTGTAATTCGGACCTTGGAGTTGCTTTGGTGGATCGAGGGATTTTTTACTGTAGGTGTTCATCAGGAAGCCGTACCGTCAAAGAGGTCCGACCTGGGTGCAGAATTCGAGTCAATTTGAGGCGAATAGATGAAGAAAACATTAGCTATTAAAAAGGAGGAGGAAAAAGTGATCCGACCCGGGCTCGAACCGAGGACCGCCTGCGATGGCACATTCGGTTACCATATAGATAGCCGGATTGTGAAGCAGATGTGATAACCAACTACACCATCGGACCGATGAGTGCACTGATCTGTGGGAAGATAGGAGGGTCAGGGAGTATTGGGAGCTGTCCAAAGTTTCATCCCCCAGCATTCTGTGTTGCCTCCTTGGTGAATCATAACGAAGTTTGTTACTATGCTAATAGGTCACAGAAAGATCATCATATCCCCAAGGCGAATCTACTTGATGCCAGGCTAGAAGCATCTTTCATCATAGAGGCATTTAACTCTCAGCACCTCCATCTTATTGACAATCCTGAACAATTAATTACTCAAGCCATAACACCTTGGCAACTTTGATGATCCACTTCTCGAGTGTGAGTTTTCTCCCTGTTATCCATGGATGCTGGTCTAATAAAGGATGACAGCCAAGTTCTATGCAGGAGTTGGATATTATTACTTTTTAAATCAAGGGAACATATCTAAAGCCAACCAATTCCTTGATAAGATCTTGTGGAAACAAGAAGCAATAGGCCTCAGCCAAAGACTGGTCCAGCTATCTGCAGATTTACACATTGAATCAGTTTTACTGCAGGTCAAAGCCATGTGTGCCCAGGACCTTGGTGGCTACAAGAAAAGCATGACCTGGTTCCACAGAGGAAGAAAGCCCTTGAAGCTTTGTGGAATGTCTCAAGGGACTGCAAAGCAGAATAGCATGACTTGTGAGGCAGACACATTTTATGAAGTCAGAATATGTCGAGGCTTGCAGGCTCCAACTGAACTTGTTCGGAATACTCAAGATACATTTCACTATGCTTTTGGCCTTCTCAATCTGGCACAGATTGATATTATGATTGGTGCAAGTGCTCAGGATGTGCACAAGAACCTTAACAAAGCAAGAGAACTATTCACTGCTACTGGAAGTCCATATGGATTGAATTACTGTGAAATGTGTTCAGGAGAGCTTAGGAGGAAGAGATAGATGCTGCAAAGTTAATACAGTCATTCCACTGTCCTTGCAAGAGCTTTTCAAATTTGTGCTTTTTAGCACGAATATCAAGACTCTCATAGGAAACTAAATATGTAGGGTGGGTGTGTGTCATCATATACCATGGCCCTGCAGAATCCAGAAGAATCTTATGTTCTTTGGCCAACTGAGGCCAATTGGCATGAGAGGAGTTTTTCACCATCAGTGGTCCTTGCAAATCTGCAAATAATGTATGGAAAATATAAGGTGACTCAAAATTTGAGCTGGTTACTCAATCATATGACACTTCGGACCCCTCGTATGTCTTCACATGAAGCATACCTGGTCACATTCAAGTTCTTTCCTCAGATTCAGATTTTCAGCTGTAAGGTGGAATTAAATGGAAAACTGTGCATTTTACTTGATTTCTTCTATCATTGAATGTCATAGGACTCAATGAAAGTCATTTCATTCAATTTCTGGTGGTGGCAGTTCTGTTTGCATTTGTTTGCACTCACATGAACACTGTTTGAGGTTAGTCTCTCTTGACAGACACTTTATCAATTCTAGCTCATTCCTTGCTCAATAAAGTTTGTTGGTTACCGTGCTTGATACCCGGCGGCCTGTGTTACTATGTAAGCTTTCCTTTTCTGGGACTCACATGCACAGTCCATTGACACGACTTGAACGTGTCTTAGAGGTAGCTCGGATTTAAGGGAAAAATTGATGCTCGCATTCTGAAATAGACGCTTTCAAACATCTCCCCAAATTTCCCCAGCACCAATAGAGCCAGTGGAGTTCCTCTACGAGTACTTTCATCTGATTTTTGTCATTCCTTCTCGGAAACATGCCACTGTGTTCAATGTGTGAAAGTAAGCATCCTTGATGTTTAGAATAACTATCCTCAACACATTCCTTGCCATCTGAGGAGCTTCCTGAATGGTGAAGAAGAGAAATGTGTCTCGACGCATCTCGGCTAAGTTCCCAAAACAGAAGCTTACATAATAACACAGGCCGCTTACTAATCAGTGTGGTAACTAACAGACTAGTTTGAGGTCTAATTGCCTGATTCCACTACCTTGTGACCACAGGAGCAGCTTGGATTTTTTGTGTGGGAGACATATAATGTTGAAGAAGAGCCTTCTTATTTTATCTGATCAAAGGTACATTATTCATGGCCCATAGCTCCATAAACTGTGATTTTCGCTCATGATCTATTTATAGCTTGATCGGTTTTCACTTTTTGGTGACAGTGAAAATCCTACGAAGGAGAATGGACATAGAAGAGGACATATAGCAGAAAAAACCTTATGAAAAGCATTTAAATTGGCAGAGAAAATAATAATTTGCAAGGACCACTGATTTTGCAAGGACCATGGAATGACTGTATTCCAGAAGTTGTCCTCAGGGTGGTATAAGAATTCTGAGGAGGGGGCTGACTGCGTATTTAGAATGCCAATTAATTGAGCCTATGGACATGGGAAACAGACGAAAACTGAAGCCAGGGCAACTGTCCTCGTCTAAACCATCAAAAAAGTACCTAAAAAACAAAAACAAAAAATGAGTCGTGCCCTAAGTTCTGCACAGAGCTGTAATAAGTAGATATTGGATGGAAATGGTAAAACACCAGCTTTACCTATTCCATCTTGGCTCTTCTGGAGTTGCAAAAATGTTGCTGATTTTTATAACCCTTGGACTTTTTTCTGTACCAATATTTACCTGGTGATCTCTATGTACATAGTTAGGGCTCCTTTCAGTATTATAAATTCATGTGTTTGGTTGCTACCAGACTTTGCATCCCTAGACTCACACCAACTCCCTCCGATTTCACAGTAATCTGGAATCTGTTTGATGCATGTAAACTGATTGCTCATTTACAGCTCTGTGCCGAACATCGGGCCACAGCCCATTTTTCTATGTTTTTGGTAAGTTTCCACCAGAACACTCATCTTGGGATCAATTCCCAACCGTCACCTTGGGAATATGCTCAGCAGATTCATGCTGCGAATGCGGAGGGCCTGACACCTTGTAGGCACCCCGTGTTCATTTACTGGGTCTGTTTTAAGTGTTTTTGGCTGTTGAAGTGCAAAATATGTTGTACACTGGCTGTAGTGGCTCTGGACTGACATTAATTTCATGTGAGATTGCACTGTTTTCTTCACCCATGGGTCCCGGGCCCAGTGTCAAATCACATTTTTAGTTCAACAATTCGTTTGATGAAAAAATCACTGAGAAGTGCCTTGTACAAGCAGGAAGGAACCGTGTTCATGAGTTTGCACAGGTCCATTCGAATGCCTTCCGATTTCGCTTTATGAACCCAGTTCAATTCGGGACTTGGCAGAACCAATAAAGGCCATCCTTAGTCAGACTCGTAAGCAGTCTGTGATACAGAATACAACAATTGCAACATCACATCTAATCCTTAGTGTGAATCTAGTTCACTAAAAGTGAGGGAAATGTCACAGTCAAGCCTTGAGTGTCCACTCTTCGGTAAGAAGAAGAGGGATTGGGTAGTGCTCATGTGTAGACTTGAAAAATGATGGAATAAAGGTTAAACTACAACAGCGAAAGTACTACTGTATTTATACTGTACAACGAACCGTGTGAACTATTACTATATATAAATGTACAATAGCCTGTATGCGCGTGTGAACTACGCATCTGTCATGAACTGTCAAGTGCCTGTCAATACTATTAAAGGAATGCCTATATTGTTCATGTAAGATGTGTCCTATTGTCCTTCTCCATTTCAGATATAAATAGCCCCTACGCATCATCTTGTGGCAGTGTCTGTCCCGTCGCTTGGGAGTGTAGCACAGCATTTGTGTATTGCTGGCATCCTGACGTGCAGTTAAGCATCGTGGGCGTAGGAACAATAAGATTAGCATCAAATCATGACAGGAAATGTGAGGAGAGCTCATCGAAAATTACCAGTTTTATGTTGAGCCAAAATTACTTGTTAATTTTCTCAGTGATTTCCGGGTTTGAGAGTTGTTTTTTCAGTATCTCTGACTTGCTGATGTGCTTTTCCCCAAATAATTTTAAAGCTTTGGCTACCAAAGTCAAAGGTACATATAATCCCAAGTATTATTTGCACCAGCACGGTGTTAGGAACTAGAGTCCTCTATGCGGCTCATGGAGCACTGATATCTCATATCTGCCCTCAGAGTCCATATAAAAGTTTTATTGACTATCATAAAACTTGTGGAGTCTGACTACAGGAGACTACCTCGGAGCCATATCATCTCTGCACTCACCTTTTGTACCACATTGCACTGGTGACATGAAGGTGTTCCAGTTGGTTTACTGTTGCGCCATTCACATGGTCAGTATGGCTTTAAAACCCTTCTCTCATCGAATTCTGCGTTTGGATGTTGCAATAGGGTGTTGAACTGTGTTGACACGACAAAATCAGAACAGCACGTGATCGTGTTTCTGCGCAAGTTGGGGTAGTGCCTCTAGATCCTCTGTCGGTGGCCGATAGGGGAATCCCGCAGTGTCGCGTTGCAAGGGATAAAGCAGGAGGAATGCACCCGATACACACACGTGCTACCACGTAATCTAGGGAAGCTGTCGCCAAACACGCACACACACACTACCGCAGAGTCCATTCCATCCATCCCACACACAAACAATGTGGTTTGAAGGTATGTGGAGTGAGTGGCTGATGGTTGTTCCCTGAAAGTCCGTGGACACATCGGGCCAATTTTCTCCGGAATGTGCTTGATGTTTTAAATTCATCTGTGCCATTTATTTATTCTGTACTTCCCTAGGCCTGGGCAATCTTATCACCACCACCCCAAACTCGCTCCAGCATGTTGCAGACATTAACAATGCACACCATGCTGCACCTGCCCCAAAACGAACTCCAGCTTTGCTGGGCACAATCCAATGGAATTAGGAACTACGTATGTACTCACGTTGCATTGGCCACGTTCTTTGAACGCAAAAAAAGACAGGTAGGTGCTGATGGGCCTCAGAGAATGCCAACTGAAATGAGGACTCGGTCTATGAGCACAAGTGCTTGCTGTATTGTGGATAGAGCTGAATAAAATAAGCGAGGATTTGAACGAGAACTCACGCCAGGTCAAGTTGAAGTTGAAGTTGGTG